GAAGAGAAGTCCCATAAGCTGGGCAGACAGAGACCACAGCCCGCAGTGACCCTGTCCTCTCTGACTCTGCCAGCACCACGTGCTCTGCCTTGCTCTCCACAGATGCCTCTTCCGCCGTGTGCAGAGCTCACGCATGGGCATCCCGTCCTCTTCTGTTCCCGTGGTCAGAAGGTGCGTAATAAACCCTGCAGGACAACGCAAAGCTTGGCTTGAAATTGGGTGCTGCAATCACAGCCACTGCAGATGGAGGAGCTACCTCCACCAGCTGCTTCACAAACACCATTTTCAGGAATTATACTTAAACAAGATAGAGACCAGGCGAGTGGCTCATGCCTGTAATCCCAGAAATTTGGGAGGCCGAGGCAGGAGGATCACTTGACCCCAGGAGTTCGAGACCAGCCTGGGCAACATAGCAAGACCCTGTCTCTACACAAAATACAAAAATTAGCTGGGGGCAGTGGTGCATGCCTGTGGTCCCAGCTACCCAAGAGGCTGAAGTGGGAGGATCGCTTGAGCCTGGCAGGCAGAGGTTGTAGTGAACCATGATGGCACCACTGCCCTGCAGCCTCGGGGACAGAGCAAGACCCTGTCTCAAAAAAACAACAACAAAAAAAGCAAGATAGAGGTGAGGAAATGCAGGCCCAGAGATGGGAAGCAATCGCCCAGGCCACACAGCTGGTGAGCGATAGAGCTGGGACCCTCACCGTGTCTGGCGGATGTGTTTTATAGCCCCTGGCTTCACCTCTCTGCTGGTACTCCCTCCCCTGCCCCCCAGATGTGAGCTCCAGGGGCCTGCAGACAGCGTGAAAATGCCAGGCTGGTTCTATTTGATTTGATCTCTTTTCTGACTATTCCTTGGTACCAGGAGAAACCTCATGCAGGTGAGTAGTTGAGCTTGTTCCAGGGAAAAAGAGACAGTGACTATGTCACCTCTTCTGAGGCCTGGTTTCCTTGCAGGGGGTAATGGGCCCGCTGCTGTCAGGGTCTTCCCACTCACTGTTCCCTCTGCTGGGGATGCTCTTCCTGCAAGTCTCCCCCTGCTCCTCTCAACATCCATGTCTCAGGGAAAACGTCAGGTCCTCCAGGGCCTTGCCTAGTAGCCCTCTGCCCCCAGAAACACCACCCTACGGCCTGGCATCCTCACTGTCATCCTCACTGTCATTTTCCTGTTTACTAGCCTGATGTTATTATCTCATCCCATTAGAACGGGAAGTTCCAGGGAAGCGGGGACCTGTCTTGTTTTATTCACAGATGGGAGATCCTCAGGGCCCAGAACAGTTCCCAGTGGATGGTGGGTACTCAAGAAAGACTTTGAAAATGGGAAGAGTGAAAGAGTGGCCTCACAGAGCTCACAACACGCTATTTCAGATTTTTTCTTTTCTTTTTTCTTGTTTTGAGACAGGTCTCTCTACATTGCCCAGGCTGGTCTCAAACTCCTGGGCTCAAGTGATCCTCCTGCCTTGGCCTCCCAAAATGCCGGGATTATACATGTGAGCCACAGCGCCTGACCAGTTCCCAATTTCTGAGGTCATCAAGCCCTCCTTGCATTTTGTGGCCTACCTTCTAGGCAGGGACCTCTGCTTGGCAGGCTGGCTTGTCTATGCCCCTAGCCGGAGCTGCTGGAATTAAAGCAGGGCAGGAAACTTCTGCAAGGTGGGGTTGACCTGCTCTCTGAGGCAGTGCCCGTGGGGTGGGCTTATGAGCTGACTTGCAGAACAGCTGTCCCAGTGGGGTCCCTGGGACTCATGTGTCTGTCTACTGGGGCTGCACACTGCTTGAGTGGCCTGTGAGGTGGCTTGGGACGGATTTAGCAGTGGCCGCACTGCACTGCTCTGCGCCTCACCATGGCAGCAGGATGGAGGGAGTGACAAGGGCTCACACCAGCCTCCAGCGGCCAGACAGCCTAACGGTGGTTCCAGGGCCTGTCCAGTCTCTCCATGGGCACCAGGAGAATGAGTCTCCTTACTTATTCCAAGGCTCCTGCCCCTCCCGCATCCTGACACCATGGCTTGTTTTTTCTGGGCTGGCCCAGCCTTTCCCTAGGGTCCTACCACCTTTGCCCCCTCCACACCCCTTTCTGTGTTTCTAGGAAAAGCAGAGCCTCTCCTCCATCCTTCTCCCACTCTCCTAGGCAGGGAGAGAGAAGTGACCAGTGAACCCAGCTGGGTACAGGATGGAATCTGAAAACTCTTGAGACGTGGTGCAGGAGTTACAGCCAATCCCTGCCCTCTCCTCAGAAAGAAGGCGAAGGTGAGGTCTGAAGTTTCTATGCCACAGTAGGCCACACCAGCAGGCAGATGAGAGCAGCGGGCAGGTGAGAGCAGCGGGCAGGTGAGAGCAGCGGCACCGCTGAACAGCCATATCCAAATGTCTTTGCAAGGTCTGTTAAGACCCAGCCAGCTGCCCCAGTGTCACCCACACTGCTCCGGGCTGCAGCTCACTGGGCCCATCGCTCGGCTCTGCCTCAGACGGGCCCTCTGCCTGGCATAGGACTGTGCCCAGCTGTGCCCTCTGTGCAGAACACTCCCCTCAGGCCTGTCAAGGCTCACCACTCCCTATCATTCATGTCCCAGCTCCTGCACCATTAAAGTAGCCATCAGATTCCTCGGGAGGATTTGGGACATCCAGATGGCTGGGCAGCAGAACAGCTCCTCAGCTGGCAGGTCTGGGTGGGACCTGGGAATCTGCATTTCTAACAAGTTCCCAGGGTTGCTTCGGGTTTTGTTTGTGTGCCATTTCCACCAGAGCAGATGAAACTCCGCCAGGGCTGACCCTGAGTTGTTTCCGTTGAGTATTCACAGCCTGGCACACAGTAGGAGCTCAACAAATACTGATTGGATAAACGAACAATTAGACATACCCTCCCACAGACTAGAAGGAGGTTTCCCCAGGCGGGGACCTCAAGGGCTCCCTCGTGCTTAGGAGAACTCAGCATGATGTGTGAAGCTGCTTCGAGATGGAAATTCCAGAGCTGAATACCTGCTGCCCCCCGCCCTAGGGCACACACCGCACTAATGAGCCAAAGGAGGCTATTTTAAAGCCGCCAAATGTTGCACTTTTCTGCAGTCTGTAACTGTACTGCTGACACTTCCTTAGATAACCTGGGAGATGCAGGTAAAATTGTTACTGTCGCTGTTGTTGTTATGTAATATTTATTATACCCATTGTGTAGGATGAGCCATTTCAAGCCTGGTTTTTAATCACTTTCTGTTCCCGGAAGACAGTCTGGTGAGTAACTCGTTAGAAAACCGCAGTGAGCTGGAGTCCTCCAACACACCTGTTGGGAGACCCCGTTCAGGACAGCTTCCAGGCCCTCGGCGGGACAGCGGGGACCCCTGGGGGCCTGAGGACCGAGGGCATCCACAGCTGCTTTCAAAGCTCACATCCAAACTTTGGAATGTGGAAAGACAGAATTCCTTTTTATTTTTGTATTTTTTGTAGAGATGGGGTCTCCCCCTGTTGCCCAAGCTGATCTCAGACTCCTGGACTCAGTGACCCTGTAGCCTCGGCCTCCCACAGTGGAAAGGACTGAACTCTCAAGAGAATTCTCATAAGTGAGGGATGTCTGATCTCTCGCTGCTTTACAAATGCCCCTGCCCTCGTTGCCTTCCTTAAAACCCATCACACAGGCCTGTGTACAGAGGCAGGACTAGAGAGGCAGGGCCCACAAGTGAGGGCGCTTGTGTGCCCTTTGAGAAGGGGTCTGGGGGGACCCAGGGATAAGGGCGCAGAAGAGGAGCCAGAAGCCACTGCGACCATCAGGCACCCTGGCAGGACTCCGTGCTTCCTGCCAGTTAGGAGTGGCACCTGCTCCACCCCCTGCTTACAGCCAGTTTCCCACCCACCCTCATCCAGGGAGCATTGGGAGTGGCCTTGGGTCTGGGGGGAGTTGCCACTGGGAGAAAGACACATTTCCTGCCTAATGAAGGTGGTTGGGTTGGTAATGAGTGTTCCTGCTAATTTGGAGGAATGATTTAACACCAGGAGGAGCCTGGGAAAACATCTTCTGAATAGAAAGAGTGGAACGACCCCCACCAGGCAGCAGCTCCGAGTGGCGTGTTACTATTCGGGCCTTTGGATCCTGCCTACAGACGGAGCGACTGAGAACGCCCGGAGCTGCACCCTTAGGAAGGAAGTGGGGAGGCAGGTGCCAGCCTAGCGCCTGGAGCTAAAGAAGGGAGGAAACCTCTACATACAGGCCCCCCCTCCCCTCAGTGAGGTGTTGGGGGCAGGGCCTGACAGAGCATCGGGAGAGCTGCGTGTGGACTGTGGCCAAAGGGGACAGTGAGGGGCGAGGCAAGCATTGCACACGTTTGTCCGTCCATTCAACATTGTTTCTGAAGCACTTACTATGTGCCAGGCGTTCATTCCTCTGTGCCCTGGGGGTCTGGTGGGCATGTCCTCGGAGGTCCCTGCTCATGTTCCGGTGGAGAAGGAAGAGGACGATGGGCAGGCCAGCAGATAAATAAATGAGAAAGACAGCGTGTGGTCAGCACCAGCGGCGGCGCAGCCAGTGGAGTGGGGACCTGGGGCAGGAGAGGGAGGTGGTGAGCTGGGGCCTGGGCTGCTGAGGATACCTGGCCTAGCAGTCCAGCTAAGAAACAGCAGAGGCAAAGGCCGGGAGTCGGGGGCAGCCTCGGAGTTTTGGGGGAAGTGACAGAAGCAGGCGGAGCAAGGGAGTGGGGGGAAGTGTGCGGCCCTGGAAAAGAGTCTGGATTTCCTTCCACTATAGCCAGAAAGTCACTGGAAGCTTCAGCCCAGGAGTTCTGCGATCTGACTTACATGAGAAAATACCACCCAGGATGCTCCTATGGAATGGAGAGACTGGGGAGGAGGTGACAGAAAACTTAGGAGGCTGAAGTGAGAGAGGAGGGGGTTTGGACCAGGGGGGCAGGTGAGGGGCAGCCTCCGGTGATGAGTGGCTGTGGGAGGTGGCTTAGAGAAGAGCAGGAGGAGGTCTGATCTGGAGCCTGAGCCATCCCTGAGCCAGGACTGACCAGCCCGGAAGAGGGGAAGGCTGTGGGAGGGAAAGCAGGAAGCTCTGCTGGACTGTGGATTCTGGGAGGGGCCTGGGAACCTGAATTTTTAATGAGCTGATCCCCCTCCCCCCACCCCAGAGATTCTGGTGAAGCCTCAGCTCTCAAATTTCAACTGTGGACTTGGAATTCTATGTGTGTAAAAAACATAGCCTGGGGGTTCCAGTTGCCAAGTAAGGGGTAGAATATAAAAATTTAAACATAGAAAACCCCTTGTCATTTCACTCATTGCAACTGCCTTTTCCCATGACACAGGAAAGAGAAGACTCTGGAATCCCCTCCCTCAGCAAGGAAGTGGGTGCTCTTTCCCGGGAGTCCGGCAAGGGCCTCTTCTCTTTCACACTCTGAGATTCCAAGGGTAGCAGCCCTCTTTGAGGTGCCTACAGCCTGCCTGGGCACGGAGGAACTGGCAGACAAGAGGCCAACACCCGCAAACTACCAATGATTCCAAGGGTCTGATGCAAGACCTCAGCCACCCTGGAGATGACTCAGTAGTCAAGGTGAGCTGAAGGGTGGCCTCTCCTCCAAAGGGTACCTCTTCTCACACACAAGCCTGGGAGGTTGGCCATATAGACCAGTGTGGGCATCAGAGACCCAGGTTCCTTCTATTTAACTGTTGCCCCTACGTAGCGCATGGCCTCTATCCTAAGGTCTCCTTGTGGCCCAGAAAGATGGCTGGGCCTCCAGTCATGATGTCAGGCTGGAAGCGGAAAAGTGGAGGAGCAAAGAGGGTCTAGCTCCTGCTTCTCAAGGAGTCTGCCCAGAAGTCCCACACACATTTGCTTACATCCCAATGGCCAGAATTGAATGCACTGACCACACCTAGCTGCAAGAGAGGCAGGAAATGTAGGGTGGTTTTTGTTTTGCTTTCTTTTTGTTTTCTTTAAGCTGAGCCCTTTGTCCAGGACTATAGTGAGACACGAGGGAGAAAGGAGTGTTGGAAGGCAATCAGGCACCTCGATCCCAGGACATTAATGGTGACACCATGTAAATAAGATCAAGGTTTGCCCCTGCTTAACACTCTCCTGTTGCCTGCAGCCCCAGCCCCTTCACCATGGCCCCACAGCCCTAATTGATCCAAGCCATGCCCCACCCCCTCCTGACTCATCTCCTCCTCCCTCTCCACTCAACATGTGTTGCTCATTCCCCACAGCCCAGGGCCTTTGCACTTGCTGCCCCCTGCCTCCAATACATTGCCCCAAGACATTTGCACAACTCACTCATCTCGTCGTGTAGGCTCCGGCTTACACACCCCTCCCTAGAGGGTCTGCCCCACACCCCCTACCACAGTCACTCTCAGCCCCATTACCTGTTTTCCAGAGCACCCAGAACACTCCGGAATTTGCTCTTGTGTCCTGTGTTTGTGCTCTGCACGAAGGGGAAGACTGTCACTTTTGCCCAAAGCTCAGTGGCACAGCCAGAGAGGCTGCCCACATGCAGGTGCAGATGGAAGAGAATCCTTCATTTGTGTTTCCTCCCCCACAGTGGTCTGTGGGGGCCAGTATGAGAAGGCTCTTGCCAGAGGCCTAGGTTCAGTGCAGCCATTCACGCTTTTTTCTTTGTTCGTTTGCTTTGAATTGGGACAGTCTGGCTCTGTCGTCCAGGCTGGAGTGCAGTGGTGTGATCTTGGCTCACTGCAACCTCTGCTGCCCGGGTTCAGGCTATTCTCATGCCTTAGCCTCCCAAGTAGCTGGGATTATAAGCGTTCACCACCACGCCTGGCTAAGTTTTGTATTTTTAGTAGAGGCAGGGTTTTACCATGTTGGTGAGGCTGGTTTCGAACTCCTGATCTCAAGTGATCCACCTACCTTGGCCTCCCAAAGTGCTGGGATTACAGGCGTGAGCCACCACGCCCGGCCTAGCCATTTGTGTTAGGAATGTGCAGTACTTTGTTTTTCCTTGCTCAGCCTCACTGTGGGACTTGGCAGTAGAAGGGTGGCTCCTTCGACTTCCGCACGCCTGTCTGTCCACTTCAGAGGGATGGGGTTTACAGACAGGGAGCCCTGCGCTGGTGCTTGGCCACAAATGTCTATGCCTGGGACTCGGTAGATGCCTGGATGGCTTGTCACCATCACCCGGATTCCTGCTCTCTCCCTGTGGCTGGGCTTCCTGTGTCTATGGTCATCTGTTTCTGGCTTTGCTCCCTTGTTACGGAGCACAGCCTCCAGTAGCTTCCTGCGAAAGAAGGGAAGAGGCCTGAGGAAGTCTTTCTCTCTTCTCATTTAAGAAATAGTTTATCTGGGTATAGAATTGAGTTTGGAGATAATTTTCCTTCAGAATTTTGAAAGCATTACTTCTCGTCTTCTAGTTTCTCCAGAAACTTGCAGAAGCTTCTTTTCGTCCCTAGGCTTTTGAAGTTCGGCAGCAATGTACTTTCATGTGGGTGTTTTCAACCACTGTGGTGAGCAACTGTGAATCTTTTTAATCCAAAAACTGGTGTCCTTCATGTCTGAGAAACGTTCTTGAGTTATTTCATTTGTGAATTCTTTCCCTCTGCTTTCTCTTCCTTGACTCCTGTTATTCCTATGTTGAATCTCTTTAACTGATTTTTGATGTTCTTACCTTTTATCTCTTCTTTTTCTTTGCTTTGTCTTTTTGCTCTGTTTTCTAGGAGGCTTCCTTCCTTTTGCCCTCTAATCCATCCTTTCGTTTTTTCTTCTTTTTAAAAAATCATACTTTTGTACTTTTAATTTCCAAGAGCTCCCCTTTAACTCTGCCTCCGACTGTTTCTTTTGTTAGCACTTCATGGATGTAATATCTCTTATCTCTCTGAGGTTGTTAATAAACTTTGTAAAGGTTTTCTTCAGAGATAACCTGATAACCTTGCACTGTCTCTTTTTTACACTGTTGTCTCTCTCTCTCTCTCTCTCTCTCTCTCTCTATTTATTTATTTATTTGAGATGGAGTCTTGCTCTGTTGCCCAGGCTGGAGTGCAATGGCACAATCTCGGCTTACTTCAAGCCACCACTTCCTGGGTTCAAGTGATTCTCCTGCCTTAGCCTCCCAAGTAGCCGGGATTACAGATGCCCACCACCATGCCCGGCTAATGTTTGTATTTTTAGTAGAGATGGGGTTTCACCATGTTGGCCGGGCTGGTCTCGAACTCCTGACCTCAAGTGATCCACCAACCTTGGCCTCCCAAAGTGTTCGGATTACAGGCGTGAATCACTGTGTGTGGTCTTTTTTTTTTTCTTTTGTCTGCTTCGTTTCCTGTATTCCACGATGAACTGTTCCTCAGCTGTCTTCTGATCTGTGACTCATCAGATCGTAATTAAGTACCAAAATGCAGATTGGAAGCTCCCAGATCTTGGTGGGTCACTTGATGAACCTACCAGTGTTTGTAAGTTGAGGTCTTGCATTTGGGCTGGCTGGATCCCTAGGAAAGATTCCATCTCCTTCCTGGTGAAAAGCTGTGGCTGATTGGCTTCTGGAACTGATTAAGGGAAGGAAGCTGGGCAGCGGAGTCCCAGGACTCTGTAGCCCCCATTTTTAGTACAGCAGCTCTTAGCTGTGGTTTGCCTCTCCCAGTCCAGTCCATAAACCTTGGACTTTTGCTAGGGGTTGGGGAGAGGATGGGAGTAGTGATCTAACAGCTTGGAGGGACGTAGGGGATCCAGAGTCTGCAAGTTTTCAAAAGCTTTTGCTCCACTCTTTCTTGTTTAACTCCCATTCATCCCCACTTCCAGGTGTTCCTGCAGCTGCAAGTTCCTGAGGCTTTGAGGGCTCAGAGGTGTGAATAGACTTGGATCTCTTCTAGAGAATCAAATAGCCTAAGGTCCTGTCTAACTGAGCCCTCTCTGTCAGGTGTCACTCATCCCTCTGTTCCCAGCTTCCAGTATTGTGTTGCTGTCATCTTCTCCTGATATCTTTCTTATCCAGTTGATGTCTTTTAAAAAATGATGTGCTGTCCAGATGCAGTGGTTCATGCCTGTAATCCCAACATTTTGGGAGGCTGAGGTGGGAGGATCACTTGAGGCCAGGAGTTTGAGATCAGTCTGGGTGACATAGTGAAATTTCATCTCCACAAAAAGTAAAACAAGCAGCGGGGCATGGTGGTACACTCCTGGAGTCCCAGCTACTTGGAAGGCTGAGGTGGGAGGATCAGTGGAGCCCAGGAGGTGAAGACCGTGGAACTATGACTGCACCTCTAAATGCCAGCCTGAATTACAAAGCAAGACCGTGTCGCTAAAAAATAAAAATAAAATTTAAAAATTCATTTGCTGTAGTTTTAGTGGGTGCTGGGCAGGAGTGAAATTAGATATGTATGTCCTGTCTGCCATCATATCTCACCCTCCACAGCTTACAAAGGAGGTGATGGGGTAAGAGTTAGGGCTTCCAACAGAGATGAACAGGCACAGAACATCTGACCCCCCTCCTGTGTAGGGGCAATCCTCACTTTATAAGGCTGAGCCCACCACCCCTGTAGAAACTGACAGTGCCACAGACATACTTTCCTGTCATTACTAGCAGCTAGGCTGGGAGTCTATGCCCAGGCCCAGCTAGTAAGACGCTCCCACCCAGGCCAGGCGCGGTGGCTCACCCCTTTCATCCCAGCATTTTGAGAGGCTGAGGCGGGTAGATTACAAGGTCAGGATTTAGAGGCTAGCCTGGCCAAAATGGTGAAATCCCATCTCTACTAAAAATACAAAAATTAGCCTGGCATGATGGTGGGCACCTGTAACAGTCCCAGCTACTCAGGAGGCTGAGGTAGGAGAATCACTTGAACCTGGGAAATGGATGTTGCCGTGAGCTGAGATCACGCCATTGCACTCCAGCCTGGGCAACAAGAGTGAAACTCCATCTCAAAAAAAAAAAAAAAAAAAAAAAGATGCTCCCACCCCAGATCTGATTAGGAGCTAGTGAGCAAAGAAGCAGGAGTTAGGGAGGACCTTTGGGGCAGGGTAGCTGCAGGGACCATGCTGCATGCAAGCTGAGAAGATGGGCACAGCCAGGGTGCTGGCAGCCTTGTTCCCACCAGCTGGGTTCTTCAAAGGATTTGGACCATGATCAATGAGGAGCCCTGAGTGATTCACGCAACTGGCTAGTGGCAGGCTTGGGGTCAGGGTAGTGCCTTTGGGAGCTGCTTCTGGAACCTCCCCAAAGGAGGTCTCCCCACCTGCGAACTTCTCACGACCTCTGCCCTGCTCTGCCTCTCCAGACAGACCCTCCCCTGCCCTTCGCAGTCCTGGGCCCTTAACCTTCTGTCCCTTAACCAGAAGTTTCTTTCTCACAGCTCTGGAGGCGGGGAAGCCCACAGTCAAGTCTGCCAAGGGCCTGGTCTTTGCTTCCACCACGCTGCTGGGCTGTTGCATCCTCCACAGGGGATGAACACTGTGTCCTCACATGGCAGAAGGGAAAAAGAGCCTCAGCTATTTCCCTCAAATCCATTCATGGGGTGGCACCCTCATGACCTAATCCCTCCCCAAAGCACCCAACTCTTAATATCCCCGCAGTAGGGATTCCGTTTCCACATGCATTTTGGAGGGGACACACTTCAAGCTGTAGCAAAGGCCCACCCTGTGGATCACAGCATCAGCTTACCCAGCCCCCTGGGTTCCAGCTCTCCATCTGCCCTGCCATCTCTGCTCCTCCTCTGTTTCAGCCAGCTCCACGCTCCAACACCTGTAGAACGCCTTCAGCCACCACACTCATCTCTGAACAATATTTAAATATTTTTAAAAACATTTCCTATTTCATACAAACGCCTGTTATCCTTGCTAGAAATGTAAGTGCCTCACCCCTTCGCTGCGGAGTCCAGGACCAGGCAACTTGCAAACAATACAAATATACTTTTTGCAAAATGTCCAATAAATATTTCTTCACTTCCCTGCTCTGTCGAGAAAATAATGTGTTTATGAACTTATGTATGATTTATAGACATGAATGTTGGTAGTGAAAGGTATTCACCCATATCTGACCTTAGTTTTCAACTAGTTTTATTGTAAAAACAATATAACATGAAAAATTTTTTGGAAAAAATGGGGAAACCATCCATAATTCTACCTGGCACAACTATTTTTATTTTTATTTTTGCATGTATATTGCCTTCAAGCCCTTTTCCTAAAGTGCCCATAGCTCCAATCCTGGTAGTTACTCCTATAAAATCTAGCTCACAGGACATGTCCCAGCGCAGCCTTCCTGGACCCTGAGTCACTCCTGGTCTCTCTGCCTCCATCCTTGACCTCACCCCACGTGTTGTTCCTTGTTTTCATGTCTCTCCAGCCCTGACTGCACCAGGAGCTTCCTGGGGGCAGGAGGGCTCCCGCAAGTCTCTTGTATCCCAAGCACAGAGCCAGGCGCGTGGTTTGTGCCTCTCGCAGTCACAGTTTGGCATTCTGTGCTGTCACTGTGTGTTAGAACAGACGCCTTTTCCCTTTTTGCTCTGTAGTTTTCATAATGATCATTTTTAACCACTCCGGAATATTTCATCAAGTGGATGTTTCATAATTTAGTTAACCAGTCCCCTACTGGGGAACATTTGGGTTGTTTCCAGTTTTTCTCTATTACAAATAAGGCAGCAACGACTGTCCTTGCGCATGATCCTTTATTCTCCTTTTGAATAAATCTGTGGAATCCTTGGGTCAGGCAGGTCCCTGGCCTTGGGCACAGCTCACGGGGAGGGACACAGTGCCCCCACAGCCCTCTCTTCCCTCAGCATAAACACATCCTGTGACAACACAGATTTGTCTCCCTGCTCTTCGGAGCAGTCAGAGATTGCGTTGTCCTCATTCAGCAAATGTTTATTAAAGTTTTATCTATCTTGGATTCTCCAGAGCCTTGTCTTAGGCCTTCTGGCTGCTGTAATAAAGCACCATCAGCTAGGTGGCTTATAAACTATAACGGTTTGTTTCTCACGGTTCTGGAGGCTGAGTTTGAGATCAGGGCACCAGCAGGGGTTCTGGTGAGGGCCACTCTTCTGGTTTTGGATGCTGACTTTTCATTGTGTCCTCATGGCAGAAAGAGGGCAAGAGAGAGCTCTTTGAGGTCCTTTTGATAAGGGCACTAATCCATTCATGAGGCTCCACCTTCGTGACCATGGGACTCAGGTTACTTTTTTTTTTTTTTTTTTTTTTAACGGAGTCTCACTCTGTCGCCAAGGCTGGGATGCAGTGTCGTGATTTTGGCTCACTGCAACCCTGCCTCCTGTGTTCAAGCAATTCTCTTGCCTCAGACTCCTGGGTAGCTGGGATTAGAGGTGTGCCTCAGTACATCTGGCTAATTTTGTATTTTAGTAGAGACGGGGTTTCACCATGTTGGTCAGGCTGGTCTCGAACTCCTGACCTCAAATGATCCACCTGCCTCAGTCTCCCAAAGTGCTGGGATTACAGACATGAGCCATCGCACTGGGCAGAGGTTACTTTTGACCATCTTAAAACCATCACATTGGGGGTTAGGGCTTTGACATAGGAATTTGGGGGGACACAGGCATAACCTGTTACAAAACCTGGTGTGTCTGAGACGTTTGCGGCCTTAGCTAGATGCGCCTGCCCCACTTCTGTGCCCCATCCTCCAGCCACTGGCTCACTGATTTTCTCCTGAGGAGCCCCCATCCGTGCCCATGTGCAGCTTCAGTGGGGCTGACTTGAATTTCTAGCCCAGCAATGGACTTGGGGGATCAGGCCTGGCCAATCAGAGCACTGCATCTCTGCTTTACAGGGATTGGTTCAGGGAATGTCATGTGACTCAGTCAGAGCCAATGATTTGCAACCTTGAAACACTGAGCAATGCTCTTTCTTCCCCTTAAGCTAGGAGCTGTGAGGACGTCCCAGGACTGATGATGTAATGTCGCTGATGTAATATTGACCAGAACATCGCAGCTGCCTGCAGCCAATTTGCCACTGTGTAGGGAGAACCCCTGAAGATGGTGCCAACACAAGACGAGAGCACCAAGGGAGGCAGAGAGAACCTTCCTTCGTTTACTCCTCCTGCCTCTATGTGATAAGCCCCATTCTGTGCCAAGCCCATTCCTGGCCCCCGGGAAACAGCCATGAACAAGACAAAGTCCCTGTTCTCACGGTGCTGACATCTTAGCAGGGAGTAGGCCCTAAACCCAATCAGCACACATGTAAACAGGTGAGTAAGTAGGATGGCTCCAGAAAGTGGCAACTGCAATGAAGGAAAACACCTCATAGGGGTGAGATCGGGTAGCTGATGGAGGGGGGCTATTTTGGCCTGGCCTTCAGGGGGCCTCTGAAGAGTTGGCATTTGAGCAACTTGAATGATGTAAGGAGATTGCATTCCAGTTGGAGGCAGCCACCTAAGGCCTAAGGTGGGACATGGCATTGTGCACGTTTTTTGCTTTGTTTTCTTTTACATTTTTCTTTTCTTTTCTTTTAAGACAGAGTCTCACTCTGTCCCCCAGGTTGGAGGGCAGTGGCATGAGCATGCCTCACTGCAGCCTCGAATTCCCCAGGCTCAGGTGATCCTCCCACCTCAGCCTCCCACATAGCTGGGATCACAGGCATGTGCCACCACACCCAGCTAATTTTTGTATTTTTTGTAGAGACGGGCATCTTCCTGTGTTGCTCTGGCGGGTCTTGAACTCCTGGGTTCAAGTGATCCGTTTGCCTTTGCCTCCCAAAGTGCTGGGATTATAGGCGTGAGCCACTGTGTCTGGTCTTTAATTTTTCGATGGTGGTAAAATACACATAACATAAACTACCATTAATTATTTTTTCCTGCACAGTTTAGTGGATGTGCAAGTTTTGAAGATATTTTTGAACCCCTAGATCCAGCAGTTTCCAAAGCCGTCTGCTTCCTGACTTTCCAGGTATGTAAGCCAACAGTCACCCCAAGTTTGAGCTGGATTTTCTGCCACTGGCTCCTGGAGCCTGAGACAATCAGTATTGTTGGAAATCTCTAGAAACATGCTACTCCCAGCAATGCATCAGTTCCCTGTGTCTCTGCAGCCCCATCAGCTCTGGGTATTATCAT